CGTTCTTGCTTGATGCCCTCCTCCTCGCCAATACTTGGAGAACATACGGCTCTCCGCACACCCGCAATGGCCCGAGCCCATCCAAGAGCTGGCTACACGATCCTAGCTGCTTTCTTTCATCATGGCGACTGTTGCAGCGATACCTCGACCTTCCAAGCGGTCACGCACGACGAGCAAGGCGCTCACGCTTGATCAGCTGCCGAACGACCCTGCAGAGCTTCAGAGCAAGCTGCTCGAGCTCTCTGGCAATGTCCTGTCAGAAGCGCTGGAGATGTTGTTCAAGGTGAGCGTCTACAATGTTTGGGCAAGGAGACGCTGTAGGCCTGTTCGCGACTCAACCAACACCCCTGCTATCCACCTGGCCAATGTAGCACGCTAGGGAAACAAGCAATCAGACCCCAGTCGGCGAGGTGCTGCACAGTGCAGCCACCGAAGCGCTCTACCGCGTCTCGTCCAACGCACATCCATCTGCCACAGCCAAAGGGCAGAAGCAAGAAGCGACGAGGTCGCCCAGGCGATGTGGAACGTTCAACGACGGCACGTTCACCTCCGAGGACTATGCTCAGCTAGTCCGATGCGACACTTACCGCGTAGATGCTCTGTCCCTGGTTTGGAGAGAAGTTCCGACGCAGGACAAGAGTCGATGCGCCAGCAAGACTCTCGCAAGCGTCAAAGCTACCCAAGCTCATCAGGATGCTGCTCGGCTTGCTAGAGCAGCGCTGCAATTGTTGCCAGACGAGCCAAAGGCATATTATAGAGCCGCTGAAGCGCTAAGAGCTTGTGGGCAAGGACAGCAGGCTTTGAAAGCGATCGAGAAGTCTCCCAGAACTTCGCCGAGGGATGCGTCGTCTTGGAATTATGCATTCACCCAACTGCAAGCACGACTAGATGGACCGACGGTGAACCTGCTTTCGGTGAGGATCCGCGTATTCTTGACGCTTCATGAAGCACTTGTTCGTCGCTTGTAACCTGACGATATGTTGCCTTTCCTTTCCGCCTCCTCTTTGCGGCAGGACGACACCCTGTCCGCAATCTTCGCTCAACTCCCGCTGCGAACTCTCAACATCCTTGGCGAGGTTTGTCCACGCTGGCGCTCCGTCGTCGAAACACCAGAATTGTCTCGTCACCTCACCATAAATCTGGACAATCGAGACTGGCGCAAAGCTGCATTGCGGGAATGTCGGGCTGCTGAGCATCGCGTCAAAACTTGGATCATTGAGCCCTCGAAGAATAAAGCTGCGGCCGAGCTCTTGAAATTGGCTGGCGAGCAGGAAAGGACTGCTTTGAAAGGCTTCTTTCACCTTCATGCTTCAATCGCTAAAAGCGGCGCTATGGCTTGCTTGAACGAAACGCACCACTTCATCAGGTGGGCTTGCGAAGCGCCTCATCTGCAACACCTCGTCTTGCCCAAAGGATCGCTGGCAACGCGCGAGTGCACGCGGAAGACCGCCGTGGAGTTTAGGGCCAGAGTGCATGACAGACACATTCCCGAACGCGACTTGAAGGATTATCTGGACTGGTATTCTTGCGATCTGCCGGTCTTACCCGCAAGCCTTTCAGCGCGTGCCTTGAAGACGTTGGTCGTTCCAGAATTTCATATTTGGGAGCCGAAGATGTGGGCATCGCTGGAACATTCGCTACGGCATCTCCGAGTCCACAAGAATGGTTTGCTTTGCGCTTTGATGGATGTGCTCTACCGAACATGCCAGACTTTGGAGACGCTCAACTGGTGCTTCGTGGAAGATGCTGGCCTCATGTCGAGGATGATGGAGACGTGCCATTATCCTCCGGACATGCGCCTGCCGGCGGCGTGTCCGCAGCTGCGATATCTTCGCCTTACTAGTCCGCCCGGCTGCCGAAGGGCTCCGCTCGAGTGGCACAGTCTCAAAGAATGCTCTTTCCCCGCTTTGGAGGTCGTCGACATACAGCTCGGGCAACAGCACATGCTTCCTCTTTCTAGCCTGCCCTCTTTGCGCGTCTTGCACATCCAAGCAGCTCCCGGCAAGGCCGATGCCATTCGACCTTGGGAAGATCTCAAGGTAGTGGAGCGACTTTTGCATGGATGGCCCGAGCAGCCGCCCACCTGGCTAGGCGCTGCCGAGGTTGTTGTTCACAAGATCGGCGTTGCTGAGCTGGTCGACTTGTTCGACACGACGCCCAATCATTATTTGCCGAGGATGATCTCCTCCATAGTCATAGGTGCATCGATCCACGATGAATTCGCGCTTCGTGCTGATGGTGCAAGTCGCACAGCAGCACCGTGCTGGTCTGCAGAAGGCTGGGTAGGCTTCTTGCGTCGATGGGTGGCGCTCCGTTTCGCAATGCATCGACAAGCTCCCAAAAATGTCATCGACTACATTTGCGATTTCGACAATCCACTTCCACTCAACAAGCCAGCTATTCAGGTGGAGAAGAAGCAAAGCGGTAGTCCCTTTTCGCGCAACACTTCCGCCTCGAACATCACGCCGACTGTTGGGCAGATCTTGCAAAAGTCGCGCATCCGACTGCTAGAAGTCTGGCAGTACTTGGACCCTTCTTGTGATCCTGCAGCTTCTACACCACACGGCGTCCGAGGTGACGCTATGCCCTTGCGTACCGTGTACTTGGCCCAGAGCGAGCTGAATCAGATCCGCAACGAGGAGCGCTGGTTCAACGAGCATGGCGTCGAATTTGTCCTGATCAAGTCCACAGCGGATGCAGCCTAGGCGTATTCAAGCGGGGCCTCGAATGATTGCGCATTTGGCTGCCGAGAGCGCGTTGATGCCTCAGATGAGGACTGATGCCGGAACGAATCGGAATTCATGACCGAAGCATTCCTATTTACCCCCTTCCCGCCCTTGCCTTTGCGTGTAACCCAATTAGCCTTCATACCCAGACTGCTTGTAATTGCGAATGCATGCCTCATGATCCCAAGTGCACGCGCAGCGCATGGCGTGACCCCAGCAGACCGGCATTCTGAGCAGGACGACGACAGTGCACAAGTTGAGAGGACTGGTGGATCGAGAAGTGAATGTACATCTATCCGACACCGAGAACAGTTGGGGGGGATTTTCTTACGCCTGCCACATGATGATATGGGAATGGGATCACGCAGGTGTGAGCTTTCGAAGTGATGCGAGGCAACGAAGAGCCAGCAAAACGTCGTACTCACGTATCCTACGAAATCATAGTCGATCCCCTTGGCTTTCAAAGCTGCCTTTTTCTTCTCTTGCCTATCCAGCAGCTTCCTCTCGACCTCTGCTCGCTGCTCCGCATTTCGAGGCTGGAAAGAGTGTGGCAAGACGAGCAGAGTCAGTGACAGAGATGCGGAGCTGCGTTCGGTTTGGTGTGTGCCAAGGGGGCCACACATCCAAACTCACCTTGTCGTGCTGCACCCTGGCCAGCCTGTCTCTTGGGATCTTTCTGAAAGTGCGATTTGCCCCGATCCACATGGAAGGATGAACCCTAGCAGCAGGCACCTGTCTAACCTGCAACAACCTTCCCTCGATCAGATAATTATCCATCGTCTCCTGAACAATCTTTGCCACTTCGCCATCCTCAAACTCTACAAACGCATAATGCTTCGAAGCGCCCGTCCTCTTATTCCTCGACAATCTCAACCTGTTCACTTTTCCAAATTGTTCCAAGTAAGATTTCAATGCTGGTTCGATGAAGTGTTTGGGAAGTCGACCAAAGTAGAGCACGGAAGGGATGGATGCGATGGAGCTTCCTTTGAGGTTCTTTTTGCGCGCGACCGCATCCAATCTCGCTTTGACGTCTGCATCTTGCTTGCTGCTAGGCAACCTGACCAGCTCGCCCACAGCCAGCGATGTGTCCAGCACCTCCTCCTCTGAATCGTCCGAGTCGCTCTCCAATCCAGACTCGCTAGCGCTCACTGACAATCCTCTCAAGATGGTCTCGTCACCTCCCGCATCTACCTCCGAGTCCTCGGCGTCTTCTTCGTCAGAGATGACCAGTTCGGAAGCTACGAGGGGCGATTTGCTCTTGCTGCTCTTGAGGGACTGTGATTGTTTCTTGGGTCTGGTAGATGCTTCTTGCCCATGCGATCTGGTGCGCTTCTTGCCTCCACTCTTCTCTATCGTCCCTTTGATCATCTTTCCACTCTGAATCTCGCTCAATCCATCCGTTCCAACATCCTTCGACACCTCTTTCGCTTTGCGCGCAGCTTCGCTAGGTTTTGCAAGTCTAGCTTTAGGTTTCGCTTCGGCGTCCAAGTTTTTATCTTTCTTTGCAGTCGCAGCCTTGCGTTGGATTGTAGCGGGAGAGGAAGAAGAGCTGCTGGCGTCTGTGGAAGATGTTTTGCCCTTGCCCTTGCTCTTGCCTTTGAGAGTGGAAGAGGTCGGCTCGGCGGTCGTCACCTTGGCGCCCTTGCGCGTCGGTCTGGCTGCTGAGGGCATCTTTGACGTCGTGCAAGTTGGTGGGGCAGGGCTTGATTTCTCAGCCAGCGCGAGCTGATTTGATGAGCACAAGTGCGCGTCTCTAAAGTTTCCAGGAGACGAAGGAATGACAGGGCAAGTAACGGGCACCACTTTGAACCGAGGATGATGATTGCAGAAGAGGGAATTATGAACAGGACAGACGAGTAGAGGGAGAGGCAGTAAGTAGTCTCTCAACTCTTGACTGCACTTGCGAAGGCGCACTCGCGACTCGCGACTCGCGACTTCTGAAATTCGCGCGCGGAAGCTGAAGAAATTTCAAAAACTTGGATGGTGGGATGCATGTCACGTGACACTGCCATCAGCGCTGTCAGAGAAGCCGCTTGTTTGGTAGGTACGGCTCACCAGATGCTTGATTCGATCCTCAGACTCTGACTAAAGACTCTGACTGAACAGACTACTTGACTCTCTTCTTCTGACTCTTGTGATTTTCAAAATTGCTTCCACTTATTTGCCTTGACTCGCACTCAGACATTGGCTGCGATTTCAGCAATGCCCGAGTCAAGTCGACGAAAGCAATCCCAAAGACTCTCTTTCTTTTCTGATGTTCTCCACATGCACATTCCTCTCCACTCAGACTCGCAACTATGCGCAGCAATCAAGAGATGACAAAGGCAACGGCGCCCCTTGTCGCTCGCTTATCGTGAGTGGGCTGAGATGAGTCAGAGTCTCGAATCTCGTGTGCTTTCCGCACACCTAAATCGTGCAGGCAAGAAACGCGCAGCAAAGCTTCCACCGCTCCTTCTCCAGCGTCGCGTGCATCATTCCCAAGGCGGATTGGGCCGCTACGTTCGCCCCAGTGACCCTTCTCCTTCAACCCCCCCTTGCGACGGTTGTGGATGGATTGTCTACGCGACTCGGACGCGCGGATCATCTCAAGCCATGCTGCGTCGCGCCATCCCTTGATGCGCAACATCGACGAGTCAGCATTCGAGCTTTGGGAGAAGAAGAATTGCCACGGTCAAGATGACTACTGTACATGGAAGAAGATGAGAGGGCGAGCGTTGGGCAAAGGGTAAAAGGCAATAAGACTTCCTAAAACAAGCATTGGACTTGGCGAACACAGCCGAGACGGGCGTGAGATCATTCACATTCACGTGATTCTAGACCTGCACATTGAGTTTCTGTCGAATGACCGACATGTACTCTCCTGCGACGCGACATGCGGTTCGGATGCCCGCAGAGCAGGTCAGTCAAGATGCGACGGAAAGTGCGTGCTGGGTCCACTTTAGACAAGGACACTCACGTGCTCGAGCTTTGATCACTTCGCTCTCTTGCTTCATGTACGCTACGTGAGCGTCGTATGCGCGCATCAAGTCGGTGTACTGCGCGTTCAAGCATCGGTCATACCGTTTTCAGCACACGCAGCAGTGAAACTGGCCCAGCTCATTCCCGCCCAACTCACCTCCTTCTCGTACGCGTCAGCCTCTTGCACTTTGCCCTTTTCCTCCTCTGACCTCTTGCCCTTCTCCTTCGAAAGTCGATCAAATTCAGCCTCGACCTCCAAAGCTCTCTTCTTCTCCTCCGCTCTTCTCGTCTCGATGCTCTTGTTGAGCCTCTCGATGCGCTGCGTCAGGCTGGCCAATCGTCTAGCCACCAAGTCCTTCTTCAGCTCGATCTCGTCCCTCGCTCTCTGATTATCCGCAAAAGTAGCCAACGCATGATCCCTAGCCGCTTCTTCCTGCGCATACTTTTGCGTCTGTTCCAGCACTCTCTGCAACAGACCCTGCGCCGACTTCGTCTCCGTCTCTACACCTTGCAATACCTTTTGCTTCTCTTGAAGCTCTCGAATCTTGCGCTGACTATCGCCCAAAGACACCTTGTCCTGCTTGTATCGCTCCTCCAACTCTGACAACATCTCTCTCAGCTTGTTGGGTGACTCGATCGCTCGATTCTGGTACCGCCTGATATCAGCAATGGCAGTGTTGAGCTTGAACTGAAGATCTAGCAGCTTTTGAGTCAAATCTCCCTTTTCCGTCTTGAACACGTCGTGATCTTGCATCAGCGTGCCTTGCTCCTTCTTCAGACCCAACAGCTTGTCGGACAGACCAGCGTTCTCATCCCTCAGCGCAAGCACCTTGGGCTGTTCCGACGCTCGTTGCTCCCTGTGGCGTACATTGTGGGCACGATGCTTGTCAGCACGTTGCGCGCGCGCACACCACGTGGGACGGACGGCATCTGATGGGCGCCAAACTTACGTCTGGTTGCGAAGCTCATTGCGCAGCACATCCACGCTCTTGACCAGATCCTCTCTTCGGTCCAGCAGCTGATCGCCATCCCGAGCCGCATCGTCGAATTCGATGACGCGATCTTGACTGAATCGCCAAAAGTTGGAGAGAGCAGACAGGTGATTCTTGAACCTCTTTGCCGTCGGTTTGGTCAAGTCTGCCATTGCGAAATCGTGAATCGTTGCGTGCGTCATCATTGCTCGACTATCGTTGGTGCACGGGGTGGGAGTGGCTGCGCGTCAGCAACAAAAGTGTGTACCTTGCGTGCGCATTGGCCGCTCAAGCCTCGCCTCGACTCACATTTCACGAAAGAGCAACATGTGGTGCACGCCTTCTTCATACAATTCCTTTTGGGAGGCAAAAGACGCGCAGCTCGTGTAAGCAATATACCATCTCACCCTCTCACCTCTCACCTCTTCAAAGCATTTGGCCCCACCAGCTCTGCCGCCCACGTGCCGCTGCTCGATCATCAAGCCCATCGGCAACTCAAAAACACTCACTCTGTACTCCAGCTGACCACAAATCGCATCCCTCTGCCTCTCGATCCATTTGCCCGTCACTCCATTCAAGCTCTCCAAAAACGCTCCAAACACCTTTGCAGCGAACTCTGGTGTAGGTTTGCTCAATTCCTCCGATGTCGCCGGCGTTCCCATTTCGGAGAGAACGGATAGTAATTCGGAAATGCTTAGTTGAGGAAAAGATTGCAGCGTCTCCATGCCTGCTCCACCGTTGGCGCTTGCTCCCATGGCGTTCGAGGAGGCGCC